TTTTGAATGTCTTTGTTTACGTCACTGATTAAATTATGCAGAAAATCTTAAACAAAAAACTGTGGAATTCCCCTTTAATATAGTGACTGTGCAGATGTCTAGCTGCAAATCACTCAGGCTGCCTATGTGTCTACAGGGTTGCTGGTATGATCCAAGACAAATGTCACACTAAGTAATAATATGGTCCCTTGAGGTCCACTTGCTTGTGTACCCAAAACAGTTGTAATTTATCTTTACATGACCATCCAACATCTCTTTAAACCTTAGAATTAAATAGGCTGAAATATGTAAATGAACCCTGTTCGTATTGGCTGGTCCTGAATTATGTACCTTATTCAAAAGCAGGTCACGCTGAAACTCTCCTCATAAGTAAAGCTTGAATGGGAGTGCAAAACTGCCATTTTCTGAATAGATAGATATATGTAATGCAATTATTTTCATGACATCATAAAAGCAATGAATTAACAACAGGTTGTTTTGGTAGCTTAAATTCTATATGTTTTGAAACTTAAACAATGCTTCCATATTACATCAAACTCTTGTTTTATTCTGTCAGTTTTCCATGATATGGGCCCTTTAAAAGGGCAATAGCATAGACCCTTCTAATCCCCAGTCCATACAGTGCATATATAAACATATACAGGTATTTTGAATTTGTTGTCAAAATGAACTGTTGATGTCCCAACCATGAACACATTTAAATAGGACTGCCCATTCAGCATACAGCAGGTTACCCTTCAATTTCACTCGTAAAGTGTTAGTCAGTCAGTCAGTCAGTCAGTCAGTCAGAAAAGAGGTCTTTTGCATACATCTGTCTAAAAGGCAAATCCGTTTAATCCTAAGGGATACAGAGAGGTGTGAAAATGGTCATGAAAAAATGAATTATGGCTATTTTTGCCACATAATACCACACAACTTTTAAGAGTGGGCTTTAGAGAAAAGAATAAAATACAAGAAAAAGGTACAATACAGCCCCTTTAATTTATTGAATTATAGGGGAATTCTACAGATTTTTCTATTAAATAACTGAGTAGTAAACAGTCATTTCTAAATATTGCTAAATTGAGAAATGCATTATCTCTACAGGATGCAGAAAAGTTAGTTCATGCATTTATTACCTCAAGGCTAGACTACTGTAATGCCCTGCTGGCTGGATGTCCGAGCAAAAGCCTTAACAAGCTTCAGCTAGTCCAGAATGCTGCAGCCAGAGTTCTTACTAGAACCAGAAAATTTGACCATATCAGCCCAGTTCTATCAAACCTACACTGGTTACCAGTTAAATTTCGCATTGATTATAAAATTCTCTTACTGACTTATAAAGCTGTAAATGGACTTGCCCCTCAGTACCTGAGGGAACTTCTCTCCCATTATGAACCATCACGCCCACCAATAAAGTTACGTCAGGGGGGAGAGCCTTCTCATACAAAGCCCCCCAGCTTTGGAATAGTCTTCCTGTTAATGTTCGGGACTCAGACACAGCCTCATTCTTTAAGTCTAGGCTAAAAACTTACTTGTATAGTCAAGCCTTTGGTAATTAGTTTTCCCTGTTGGTTCTATACCTGCCAGAGTTTCTGCTGCTCTGCTAACACTGTAATCTGTGATCAGTCACCCATTACAGAACTGACTCTCTGTGTTTTTCCTTTCTTTCTTTTCTTTGCCGAGTTGAACAGCTGCCCATCCTGTGCATTCTGATGCTGCTTCCTCTTCTGCCTTGATCGGGTGCCACTGCTGCCAGCCCTCTGGACCAGCTTGACCACCATTGAGCTTCAGGCTGTACAACGTACAACCTCACCCTCACATCCTGACCCCACTGATGCTGCTGCTACATAAACTAAACTAATCAAATTAATCATTTGCTCCACCTGTTTTCCCCGTTTTTGTACTAACAATGTTTACTATCCGGTGTCGACCAGAGGAGGATGGGTTCCCCTTCTGAGTCTTGGTTCCTCTCAAGGTTTCTTCCTGTTTCTCTAAGGGAGTTTTTCCTTGCCACTGTCACCACTGGCTTGCTCATGGGGGCTTGGACCCGGATTTCTTTCTGTAATGCTCATTTTTTTTGTAAAGCTGCTTTGTGACAACTCCTGTTGTAAAAAGCGCTATATAAATAAACTTTGCTTGCTTGCTTGCTCATTTAGAGTGTTTTGATGTGAGGTGGTTAATTGTAGAGAAACGTACTGAGACTGATTTAATTTACAGTGATGGTGATAGGGACGCAAATATATATTTTTTACTATCCAAAATAACGGGCAAAATTACATGACCTGAGTTTTTGTAATGTAACGTTGATAATGGTAAATAGTTATAAATCTGAAAAAAATAATTTACATTTCTCTGGAAACCACTCTGAATGACTTTGTTTACAATGATTTAATTGAAATCTGCTGAAATTCTGTAACATTGGTGGAGTTCCTCTTTCATATTCTACTTTATAAAACCCATGTTATATGTATAATTTGAAGATACGTCACAAATGCCTAAATTGTTTAGCTTGAATCTCTAGACTCAGACAAGTTATGCAGGCCTAAAGTTAGGCAGTCTAAGTGTTTTAAGAATGTAAAAAATAAAATCCTGAAAGGATTTACATCTTGAAAAACTAAAATTTTCTTGGTTTTTGGAAATAATTCAGTTTGAAAGAGTCAAAATGTACCACTTACTCCCCAGTCCATAGAGACCATATATGGAAAGTTAGCTGCAAAAACAGCCTGTTTTAAATTAACTGCTTGTGATGTCACGCAAACCAACACCACCGTGTCCAAAACTGAAGGCAGTTATCTCAAAGCCTTACTGCCTGTGCTGTGTCATACAGCAGTGCCCTAGAAGGCAGCACTGTCCACTGTGTCAGTGCTGATGTTTTCTGCAGCCAATCAAAACAGAGCTCATTTATCTTATATCAGTCTTAAAGGCACAGTGACACACTGTTTATTTCTAGGGGATAAAGCGAGATTGGCAAATGATTACGTAAAAAGAACTACGACTGCTTTTGATACATAAAGCCAAATTTTGATTCCTAAAATGAAGAACATAAAACACTAGAAAAATAGAAGAACATGGTCAGATACTTCAGCCAGCTTTCAATGTTTATTTTAAAAAGAGAAACTGAACCACATGTTTTTACATAATGATCAATTATTTTAATTCTTTCATCAATTTTAATATCATTACAGAAAACGTTATAATACAGAGCTTTTCAATGTGTCCCCATTGCTATTGTATTTTCCATAGGAGTGCTGGTCACATAGCTGTACAACATCACTCTTGCGTTGTTGTTGTTTTTTTTTTTTTCTCGACTGTACATAATATGTATTTAGGTTAAAAAGGCTGTCAGCACTTAAATAAGCTGTATTGTCCTCTTAAAGTCAAAAAAATAAAAGTTTCCAGGTCCCTCAGTCTCTAGGAGTGGCCTGGGCCAATTAAAGAGGTTGGAACAGATGGCAGGGTTGGGAGTAAAGGGCAGAGCAATGAGGAGAGGTGGTTATGAAGGATGTATCAGACTGAGGCAGCCTGCAGGACCGCTCAAGCCTCTCAATGTGTTTCAGCAACGCAAATCTAACGTGCTGATTCACGATTTCCAAATCATCACAGAGCAGGAACAATTCCATTTACATGTGATGCATGGATAGCACTTCTTGTGTTGCTCAACAGCATTTTCTTTCTCAGTTTCATAACCACGTAACTTCCCCAACAGCCCAGGCCTTTGGCACTGCACATATAAACACGACTCACGAGATAAACGACAAGCAAAGCAGTGAGGCCTTTATGAAGCTTCTATGGAGCATACAGTATAATACTAAAGGGAAAACAGAGCTGGGTCATTATGGTGCATCTGGAGAAGCCCCCCACCCCCCTTCCCAAAAAAAGCACCATGTTGTGCCAGGGAACCGAAAAGGTCTCTGAAATGATTTCAAATGCTTTTATCCCTCAAAAGACATATTTTCTGCAGACGAGAAAATAAGTTCTCAGATGTGTTTTGGACAGGTGCCTACATCTCTTTATTAAAATGCTAATGCTATCTATAAGGTCTATCACTAAACACACAAAAGCAATTGCAATTGAAAGAGAAAGGACTTGCGTAATATGATATATATATATATATATATATATATATATATATACACACACAGCAATCAGGCATAACATTATGACCACCTCCTTGTTTCTATGCTCATTGTACATTTTGTGCACTTCGTAGTTCAACAATTACAGATTGTAGTCCATCTGTTTCTCTACATACTTTCTTAGTCCCCTTTTACCCTGTTTTTGATTGGTCAGGACACCCATGGACCCTCACAGAGCAGGTACTATTTGGGTGGTGGATCATTCTCAACACTGCAGTAACACTGATGTGGTGGTGGTGTGTTAGTGTGTGTTGCGCTGGTCTGAGTGGATCAGACCGGTGTTTTAAACACCTCAGTGACACTGCTGGACTGAGAATAGCCCACAAACCAAAAATATCCAGCCAACAGTGTCCTGTGGGCAGCATCCTGTGACCACTGATGAAGGACTAGAGGATAACCAACACAAACTGTGCAGCAGCCGCTGAGCTATCGTCTCTGACTTTACATCTACAAGGTGGACTGAAAAGGTAGGAGTGTCTAATAGAGTGGACAGTGAGTGGACACAGTGTTTAAAAACTCCAGCAGCACTGCTGTGTCTGATCCACTCGTACCAGCACAACACACACTAAAACACCACCACCACATCAGTGTTACTGCAGTGCTGGGAATGATCCACCACCCAAATAGTACCTGCTCTGTGAGGGTCCATGGGGGTCCTGACCACTGAAGAACAGGGTAAAAGGGGGCTAAGAAAGTATGCAGAGAAACAGATGGACTACAGTCTGTAATTGTAGAACTACAAAGTAGACCTATATAGTAAGTGGAGTTGATAAAATGGACAATGAGCGTAGAAACAAGGAGGTGGTCATAATGTTATGCCTGATCGGTGTACATATAATCATAATAATTATTTTATAGAATAAACCTCTTTAGTTTCATTATATATATATATATATATATATATATATATATATATATATATATATATATATATATATATATATATAAAACATTGAAAGGTATATTTTACTTTCTTTGAAATACTGGGATGTAGTTGTTCTTGTTTGAAACACTAATTATACCTCATCAACTTCATCCAAATCAATAAAAACTAACTGTGCCATTGCATATTACAGAGTAGTAAATGATATGTGGACATGCACCACTTTTTTCTTTGTTCACGTCTCACATCCCACTTAAGGCGACATCATAGCCGTCCTATGACCATGACGTCCACCACCTCGCCTTTGTGCAGCTCCACGTATTGCTCTGTTTTGGGAGGCAACATCAGAAGTCCATTGGCACTGCGCATACTCATGAGTCGACTACTCATTTGGTTTCCTGAGAAGCACAGGAGAAAGAGAGTGTCACACTGGGCAAAAGACAAAAATGAAAACTGACTTCTACTAACATTTGAATTAGTGGTGTGCACAAGGTGGGTTCACTCATGGGTACCATGTTATCTGTAAGATAATTTATAGGCTGGATTAATTTTAAGATACCACAGTCATAGTGGCCGGGATTGAGACTTGCTGTTTGGGTGGACATAGACAATTATTGGCTGCTGGAAGTGAGCAACAAAGAAGGTGCTGTACATGTGCCGCAGAGAAAAACACATTAGCAATTAGCACGTCCTGCATAAACATAATAAACCTATGTAACCTCCACTAAATAACTACTACGTTCACATTACCAGGCTTAAGTGGCACAAATTAGATTTTTTGCCTTAATGAGATACAGATCTGATGTTTTCAGAGCTGTGTGGACATGCAAATCTGACCTTTTCAAAAAACATCTGAGCTGCTTTCATATGTGATCCTAGATTGGATATATATCTGATCTGTGGCCATGCAACCTTAATGAGAATAGTCAGATAGGAATTCATGTTTTTTTTTCACTGCGCATGCACCATCATTCAATGTAAATATACATTTCAGGATACTATTTTCGTTCTCACAAACAGATGACAGATTTACGGAGCCCCTAAGGAGACGGAGGTATTGATTCGAGTGAACGTTTTGCAGTTCGTACGCACGCTTTCTTTTATTCATGGTCACGATTTCTTAAATCGTTCCCTCGTTTTCTTTTAATCGTGCGCACATTTTCTTTACTTCGTGGGTACATTTTTTTTTAAATTTGTGATCACGATTTTCTTATTCGTTCTCTCGTTTTCTTTTAACCGTGGTCATGTTTTATTTTTAACTGAATGCACGTTTTTTTTCTTTTGATAACAGTTCCCTGAGACTGTCTGACGGGTTTTGATGAGTTAGATTGATGAGATAATGAACAGAGATGCTCATTAGGTCTGATTTTGATGTAGGGGGTTATGAGGAAACTGCAGCTCCTCTTCACAGCAAACGGCGCACGGTGTTTCTGCTCCCGTGTCAAGCTGCGGTGTTAGAGACCATCACACAATTACAAGAAGAAACAATCAGTGTTTCAACATCCTCACATTAATATATCTACATCTAATCCATAGATCTATTAAACTTTCTTGCCATTTGACCTCATTCCACATGCATGTTTCTGTGTGTGCTCAATTTGAGTTTGTTGAAACGTTGACGCTGATCATTTCTTCCTGTAATTGTGTGATGATCTCTAACATAAAAGCTTGTCGCGGGAGCAGAAACAGCAATAAGCGGCCGCGCTGCATCTACAGTTCTGTTAAATATAATCATTAGCAAGTGCAGTTTAGTGAAGATTGTGGTTGTAGTTTACTGTCTTCCTTCATTTCACCACCAAACTGCAGCTGCACTAATGAATACATGGGCCGTTTTCTGTGAAGAGGAGCTGCAGTTTCCTCATAACGCCCCAAATCAAAATCAGACCTGATGAGCATCTCTGTCCATTATCTCATCAATCTAACACATCAAAACCCGTCAGACAGTCTCAGGGAGCTGGTAGTTACTTTTGCACCGGACAAATAACACGACCTGTATCTACTACATTGTTTTTGCGCACGAATCAAAAACACAAACAACGTGCTCCAAACCCAGCGCAGTGGTCCGGACAAAGGCGAAACGTTTGCAGGTGCGGACAAGGACCTTAGCCCAAGATAGGCAGTTGGGCATGATGTGTAGTTGAAGTAGGTAGGTGCAGGCAAGAACTGCATTAGGTTTTGTGGATGGGTGTGGGCAGGAACAACACTACATTTTGTTAGCGCTGGAGGACGTCATGTGTGGTGTAAGCAAGTGGGTTTGGGCATCAATAATTAAGCCTGAGCAGACTTCTAATTTGAGTAAAAATTTTCTTTTACCTGTGCTCTGTGCCCAGGGCAGGGGCTCCTGGTGATGCCACGTCAATATACATCTGTGATACTCTGGACGTGGATCCAGCTTAACATCACAAGAAAGCTGTGGGGAAAATGGCACATAATGATGACATCCAAGCATGAGAGAAACATACATGTCTCCAATAACAAACTCCGACTTTTGGCTTTCTGTATTGAAGTACCCCTCACCCCAAACACAGTCAAGGCTTGTTTGGTGTCCATGTTTTGCTTTGAGGCTAATGTAAACAAGAAGCAAATCTTAAACAAACTGCAACTTTTGAGATTGCTTAACATCAACCTGAAATCAAAACTGACATTTAGTTCATGTCCCTGTTCATATCAAGCATGATTCATCATATTATATCATTTAAAAGAAACTTCTTATGTCCTATAATCCTTGTAATCTTCCATTAAAATGCAGAGGACTCATGTAACCTTTGTTCTCACTCTAGAACATTCCTTGTGGTGCCAAGAGTGAAATCAGAACTGGAGAAAAAAGCTCTTGCTCTTAACGCACCTTACACTTGGAATATTTTAAATCAGAAATATCTGTTGGCGGAGCTCATTCCATTAAGCTTTTTTAAAGGTATAACAATTTTTTTGGAAAAAATATAAATAAATATATGGATATAAATACATACAAATAAATGTATTTATGAAATGTATTCTCACTAACCAATAATATCATGTTTCACCTTCTGCTCCTACCTTCACCACATTTCATCAACCAAAAATTCTCAGTTAGCTCAGAGACCCTCCCTGATGCACGGTATAGTGAAACTGTATGTCATACTGTTATCTATAAAAATGTACAAAACTACAGACAAGTGTGGAAAAAATTGAAACGTATCAACAGATTTTCAAATTTATAGATGAAAGTATGCTATATGGTGTCAGAATGATATAAACTCTGTTGGAGAGAGCAATTTGCCATGTTTGGAGGCAAGTGTGTAATACTAGGAATACTTCTTGCATGATGCTATTCAGTGAGGTTTAAGCTTCTGTTACTGGTTAGTAAAGGGGTAAAAATGCACATATTTTCAAATTTCATATGATTTTCAATTCTAAAGTCAAGATTTTATTTTGATTTGCAATATCTTATGTTTTAAAAATGTCTTCACTCTGTTGGCTTAGATAAATGCAAACCTTATCTTAACAACAGCATGTCCTTATGCAGGCCTGGTAGCAAAACTACATGATGACTGTGGTTTCTAGGTAAGTGCATCCATGCACTTAAAATACAGCCTCTACAATGTACAAGAAGCATAGCAGTATACACTGTTAAAAAAAAGAACTAATTTACTTGTATACTTTCTTCATGGTTTATGGCTCTTGTGAAAGACAGTAAAGAACAGAGCAAGGGGCATTTGGATGATAAATTTATTTGTAGAAAACAATATATATATTTTTTTTGTTGCATCTTTGTATCTCTACATGAAAGTATTTAAATATGAACAATGTGCCTGATTCACTAAAACAGGAACCAGCTTGTTCCAGCACAAAATAAGCCCTGATTACACCCTTACTGGTTAGCTATATCAGTCTTGTAGCAAAATTAAACAATCAAACATGTCTTGGCTGAACAACTGAATCTGGGCTATGAGGGAAAGACTGTGTACACTGGATTCTTCCCTTTAAGCCTGGTGTTTACCCTGGCTTTGATGATAGTGGGCCTTGGGTCCAGGATGCCCTGCATCTTTCTCAGTGCAGGGATGACAAAGAGATTACAGGTGACAACAGCTGACACTGGGTTACCTGTAGTGAGACGTGTAAAAAAAAAAAAGAAAGAAAGAAAATGGAAATTTGATGAGCTAGAGGTTAGAAGTAAAGTAGCTGCTTCTTTTTCTTTGGGGGGCAGCAACCTGGGGGAGGAGAAGTAATCTGGGAGCGAAATGTCAGTGCAGGGCCAGGATCTGTAATTATCTATTGCACTGATTTGGGGCCTATGAGTGCACTTTGACAGGGCCCCAAGGGCAGTGGTGTGAGGATCTGGAGCAGTGTTTGAGGCCACACACAGAAACTGGATTGGAACTCAGTTCCAGCTATGCAAATGACCATGGCTTCAGGACTGCCTTCACACAAGGCAGCTTGAGACCACCTTCCCACACTGCTTCTACCAAACCAGGCAGGAGAGTGTGCCACCAGAGAATAAGAGAAGATAAGAGAGGGGAAATTAGAGGAGAGCTCCAGACACACAAGTGAAATTGCCTTTAAAAACAGAAAGGGGATATTAAACAACTTAATGACACCACACCATGGCATGAGACATGTACAGTGGGGCTAAGAGAGCAACACAAGACTCAAACACGCAACTAAACCAACACCAACACTACTACACAAAGCCAAGGGCCTGCTAATGAAACTTCAAAATGTTCTCTCTCAGAAAACAGAACAGAAAAATATCACAATAGCAAGTAAATCTAACCAGTATTTTCCCTTGTATTGTCCCATGTTTTGGCTTGGCCTCCTCTTACAGAGCTCACTGAAATGATTCTACCACTCTTGAACAAGTCCAACCACTAGAACAAATACAACTACATTCTACATCAGATGCTTTGGTTTGAAATTTTTTTTTTGCTTGGGTACTTTATCCCTAAATCCAATTTTCAGTGTGCAATGCTCAATGTACTTCCGTTTTCTGTGCTAATTTGGTTATATTCTGCGACTTTTTGTCTAATTTTCAATTTGCGGATTTCAGTGTCCGCTGTATTTCCGTTTTCTGAGCTTAGGGTGAAGATGGGGAATTCCTTACTTCCGCGCGGGGGAGGAGGCACAGGAAGCCTGCTAACCTCGCTGTCACTCATGGGCACGGCCTCGAGGAGAGTTGCCCCAGTGTCTCTGTAGGTGAAATTACCTTTAAAAAGGGGGAATATAGAAAGAGCCACTGTCACCACTGCCTCGGCTGGCCTTCCTCAGTCGGAGAACAAGCTGGGCTCAGGAATGGGCAAGGGAGAAATCGGGGCAGAGGCCAGAGGGGGTACCAATTGAGTGAGGGAGACAAATGCCAGGCAGGAAGGTAAGTAAGGGCTGGTAATGTCTCATACCGAGGGGAGGAGCCTGTCAGTTTGAAAAACTGATTTGGAGTTAGGAGTTTGAGGGATCAAATCCGGGAAAATTTTCCTTTATGAGATCAAACCATTTCTACATGTTGTTTGCACCTATGTAAGTGTATACTGCATATGTTTTTGGAAGAATTACTTTACAATGACAATTATTAATGACTTGCGCTGACTTTGGAAGAGTACCATTATAATTAAAAAATCTGTACATCACGCCAACAAAGCACTTCACACATGATTCTCATTTAATTCCAGTATGCAAAAGCATACCTGGCAGGGCAAAGATCAGCTTTCGGGTGCCATCAATGTCCAAGGTTGCAAAGGTGGTGGGAAGACTGCAATTGAAGAAAGGACAAAATGAATGCAAGACTAACATTTTTCAGTTTTCTCCAGAAGGTTACTGCATGTGCTGCTCTCACCCTGGCTTCATAAACACCCGACCAAAGTGAATTTGGGCATGGAGGTCGATGTCCAGAACCTGCTTCAAGTAGTCCTGGTGGAAAAAAGGAAGAAAGAAAAGATACTGAAGGTGAAAGGTGAGAATTAGCATTGTCGCAATAGCAACATTTTGATACTGAAACCAAGTATCATATAACTATGCACAGTATCAAGGAAAATAAACACATTTGTCATTGCTGGTTCACCCAATGTTTATAGGATTGAATCCAAAAAATTTCTAATTTATTAATTTACTATTAAACTTCTTTATTAAATATTAAACCTCTCTAATTTTCTAATTCTGTCTATTTTCATCAGTAGAAAACTATTATTTAACACCAGTAGAAAACTATTATTTAAACTAAATATTTAACAGTATGTTAAATATTAACAGGATGTTAAATATTCTACCCATCTTAGTCAAATTAGTACGCATATTTTAATTTGCCCATAGGCAAACTACAATATTAAGCTCCCCTTAAAAAATGTATGTGTGTTTTTTTTTTACAGTTAACTCCTCTTGGATGGCAATTTCTGGTATTTAGTCTGATGTGTTACTATAGCGCAAGTGTGTTACTACAGCGCAGAGATGACATTTTCAAAAAAATTGTGATTTTAATATTCATTATAGTTACAAAACTACAGACTATTTAGAAAACATCTGCATCAAGCTTAAACACTATTTTGCAATGGCAAGCCAGCATACTATGACACAAACACAAGTTGTGTCCACATGGACAAACACAGCATACATAAATTATGTTTCTAAAGAGTCATTTTCAGAGAAAAAAAAATGGCCCCTCAAAATATTTTAGAGATATAGATTTTGTTGTAGGGGAAGTTGCTTTCCCCACTGTACCTGCATAGACATTTATTTTAATAAAACATGAAGATGATTGGGTGGACAATGACATAACAGACTGGACCAGAATATTATTGGGTGGACAAAAACATTTCATATTGTAGTATGGGGGATACATGGAATAAGCAAAGACGACTATGAGTTCAGGCTCATAATGCTGCTTTATTTAAAATTGACTCGGCAGTCAAAGTACAAGAAAGGAAAATCACTATTGTGTTATGTATTACTTATAAACGTACAACCTTAATTCCAAAACGTTGGGACGCTGTGTAAATGTAAATAAATGTAAGTAAAAACAGAATGCAATGTTTTGCAAATCTCATATACCCATATTTTATTCACAATAGAACACAGAACACATATCAGATGTTGAAAGTGAGACATTTTACCATTTCATAAAAAACATTAACTCATTTAAAATTTAATAGCAGCAACGCATCTTAAAAAAATTGTGACAGGGCCACGTCTACCATTGTGTGGCATCCCCTCTTCTTTTAACAACAGTCTGTAAACATGTGGCGACGTGAGGAGATCAATTGCTGGAGTTTTGGGAGAGCAATGTTGTCCCATTCTTGTCTGATGTAGGATTCAACAGTCCTGGGTCTTCTTTGCCAGATTTTTCATTTCATGATGCGCTAAATGTTTTTTACTGATGAAAGGTCTGGACTGCAGGCAGGCCAGTTCAGCACCCAGACTCTTTTTCTGCGAAGGCATGCTGTTGTGATGGATGCAGTATGTGGTTTTGCATTGTCAGAAATGCAGGCTTTTGAACTGTACGCTGATAACAAGCTGGATGGTCCCTCTCCTCTTGAGTCCGCAGGACACGGCGTCAATGGTTTCCAAAATTAATTTCAAATTTTGATTCATCTGACCACAGAACAGTTTTCCATTTTGCCTCAGTCCATTTAAATGAGCTTTGGCCCCGAGAAGATGGTGGCATTTCTGGACTGTGTTGACATATGACTTCTTCTTTGTATGATACAGCTTTAACTTGCATTTGTGGATTGCACTGTGAACTGTGTTCACAGACAATGATTTCTGGAAGTGTTCCTGAGCCCATGCAGTGATTGTCAGTACAGAATCATGCCTGCTTTTAACGCCATGTCGCCTGAGGTCCGAGGATCACGAGCATCCAATATTGACTGTTGGCCTTGTCCCTTGTCCCAGGAATTTCTCCAGATTGTCTGAATCTTTTGATGATATTATGTACTGTAGATGGTAGGATATACAATGTCTTTGCAATTTTACATTGAGGAACATTTTTCTGAAATTGTTCCACAATTTTTAGATGCAGTTTTTCACAGATTGGTGAACCTCTGCCCATCTTTGCTTCTAACAGACTCTGCATCTCTAAAATGCTCTTTTTATAACCAGTCATGTGCGTTAGATGCAAATTGCTCCTCCAGCTGTTTTTTTTCATTAGTACCACTTACTTTTCCAGTCTTTTGTTACCCCATCCCGATGTGTGTTTGTGGGGTGTGTATGATGTTTGGTATGTTTGTGGTATGGTGTGATGTGTTCGTGGTCTGTGTTTTGTGTTAAGTGTGTGGTGTGTGTGTGCACTCTGAAAGGTATGTTAAATGTGTTGAGTAACATGTATTGTTATTGCTGTTACTGTTTTATTTCTGTTATAAATGTTTTATGACTTTTTTATTTTTGATATCATCTTAATTTTGTTGCTTTCTTATTACTATTGTTATTAAGTTGGCTTGAAAAACCCAACTTACTGTTCTTCGTAATCTTCTTATTATTACAATTCTATGGTTTTCTCTCACACAGACTCTCACACACAGTAAACACAGACTCACACATACAGCCTAATGCAGCCATAACAGCACAAACAATGAATTTGACATGGAGCTGCTTTTAAGGAAGCACTGAATTTAAGGTTGAACTGAATTTAAGGTGGAACTGCATTTAGGTCTGCACAGAATTTAAGGTGAAACTTCATTTAAGGTGGCACAGGAACGTAATTTCACTCCACTGTTTACTTGCACATAGGTGGAATGACAATAAAAGCCTCTTGACTTAACTTGACCTTAAAGAGAGTTCCACCTTAAATTCTGTGTCATCTTTAATTTAGTGCCCTGTTAATTGAACTTCCACCTTAAATTTATTGTTATGCTAATTGAAGATCCACCTTAAATTCAGTGCTACCTAAGTGCAATTCCACGTTAAAAGCAGTTCCACCTTAAAAAAGCATTATGTGTGCTAATACTGCTGAGCATTAGGCTCAGAGCATGTGAGACATTGTGCTCTGTGCGTGAGTTTGTCTGTGTGTGTGAGAGAGGGGCCCATTGTGATATCATCAATTTGAATGTTGCCAACATTCGCCCATTCATTCCTATGGAAAAAAATTGTCCGTTTTTCGTCTGCTGTAAGAAAACCATAAGTTGGATTGCTTAGAAAAGCACAAGGACACTATTAGGGTGTAGGATCTACGATGCTGCAAAGTTTTGTGGCTCTACGTCGAAAACTGTAGAAGGAGAAACTGTTTAAATTTTGAGCGAGGGATAATAATAACTAGAAAGGGAAAGTTCGTGAACGAACTTCAAGTTGGCTTGAAAAAGCCAGTTAATTACGTTAAAACATTAAAATGGTTTAAGACTTTTGACAGCTGTTAAAATGTTGCCAAAATATTCCTAAGCAGAAGCTGCAGTATCCGTGGTGGAAGGTAATTCTTTGCTAGTTGCTACTGTGAATGAAGTTCCACCTTAAATTCTGTGCCACCTTAAATTTAGTGATGTTATTTGAAGTTCCACTTTAAATTGTATGCCACCTTAAATTTAGTGCTATGTTAATTGCAGTTCCACCGTAAATTCTGTGCCACCTTAATTTTAGTGCTACCTTACAGAGAGTTCCACGTTAAATTTTGTGCCACCTTAAATTCATTGCAATGTTAATTGAAGTCCCACCTTAAATTTTGTGCCACCTTAATTTTAGTTTTACTTTAAAGAGAGTTCCACCTTAAGTTCAGTGGCACCTTAAATTTAGTGATATGTTAATTGCAGTGCCTACTTGAAAGAAGTTCCATCTTAAATTCTGTGCAATCTTAATTTCATTGCAGTGTTAACTGAAGTTCCATCTTAAATTCAGTGCTAACTTAATGCAGTTGCTACTGTCAATGAAGTTCCACTTTAAATTTCGTGCCACCTTAATTTTAGTGCTATGCTATTTGAAGTTCCATCATAAATTTTGTACCACCTTACATTTAGTGCTATGTTATTTGAAGTTCCACCTTAAATTCCTTGCCACCTTAATTTTAGTGCTACCTTACAGAGAGTTCCAACTGAAATTAGGTGCCGCCTTAAAAGAAGTCCCACCTTAAATTTTGTGCCACCTTAATTTTAGTTTTACCTTAAAGAGAGTTCGACCTTAAGTTCTGTAGCACCTCAAATTTAGTGCTATGTAAATTGCAGTGCCACCTTGAAAGAAGTTCCACCTTAAATTCTGTGCCATCTTAATTTTAGTGCTACTTTAAAGAGTTCCACCTTAAATTTCCACCTTAAATTCTGTGCCTCCTTAAAGTTAGTCCAATGTTAATTGAAGTTCCACCTTTAATTCATTGCTAACTTAAATGCAGTTCCACCTTAATTTCAGTGTCAGTGTAAATTCAGTGCTACCTTAAAAGAAGTTCCACCTTAAAATTCAGTGCTACCTTGGCTTGAAAAAGCCAGTTAATTACGTTAAAACGTTAAAATGGTTGAACACTGTTGATAGTTGTTAAAATGTTGCCAAAATTTTGTTAAGCAGAAGCTGCAGTATCTGTCGTGTATGGTAATTCGTTGCTAGTTGCTACCATGAATGAAGTTCCACCTTAAATTTTGTGCCACCTTAATTTTTGTGCTATGTTAATTGCAGTTCCACCTTAAATTCTGTGCCACGTCAAATTTAGTACTATGTTACTTGAAGTTCCACCTTAAATTCTGTGCTAACTTATAGTTAGTGCTATGTGAATTGAAGTTCCACCTTAAATTCAGTGCTAATTTAAAAGCAGTTCCACCTTAATTTCAGTTTCAGTGTAAACTCAGTGCTACCTTAAAAGAAGTTAAAATGGTTAAAATGGTCAAAGTTAAAATGGTTGAAGGCTGTTGATAGCTGTTAAAATGTTGCTAAATGTTAAGTAGAATCTGCAGAATCCGTGGTGGATGGAAATTTTTTGCTAGGTTCTACTATGAATGAAGTTTCACATT